AGAGAGAGAGAGAGAGAGAGAGAGAGAGAGAGAGAGAGAAAGAGCAAACTGACAGTCAGACCAGGTGTGCTCTGTTAGGCAGGGCTTGAAGTCTGATTCCTGATGATCTAAGCTGAGCCGATGGGGTTCATAAAATCACAGATACTGATTTAAAAAAAAATTATTTCTAAGATTTCAACATACTCTTTATTCCCTGTAAAAAATCTAGCGGTCTCTTTTACCTTAACAGTCTTAAGCGTTAATTTTGAGAAATCCTCACCCAAAAAACCCCCCAACAAACAAACTCACTGCACGATCACAAAATTGAAATCATGAGGACATCCATTTTGAATGTCAGTAGACTCATTGATTTTCTGTTCTTTTTGACAGTTGGTTTCTCATTTGATATTACTCCAACTGATGCGCAACAGGGTTAGCGAAGGGTACATTAATTAATATATTTGCATCAAAATATGAGCATGAAAAGTGCGTATATATTCACCTGTAATATTTCTACCCTACCCTCCCTGCCCTCCCTTGCCCTTCCATGCCATTCTCACCCATTCCTCACTTCTCCTCCCTCTCCTTCCCTCATTTCCCCTCCCTCCCTTACCTCTCATCACCTCCCATCCCCTCTCCTCCTCTACTCACCGATCATAATTGTCACCTGTTTCTTCTCATGTCGGCCAGGCATCCCCTCCCCCCTCTTCCTCCACTCACCGATATAATAATTAGCATAATCCTCTACCACCCTCTCATCGCCTCCCTCACCTCACAACATTTTCCTCCTTCCCATCCCCTCCCCTTTCCCCATTCACTCACCGATCATACATGTCGTCATCCTCTCCACCCCAGCCAAAGTACAGGTTGGAGTAACCGTTTACCATCTCGTATTGACCTTTGGTGAATCCAATGACCCCGCCAAGCAACCAATCGTAGATCAGCCTGTGATAAAGACATTATGTGTTATAGTATTGATTAAATGCACATGCATTCATAGTGATGTGTCTGTATTTTGTGTATCTGTCTGTCCATCTGTCCATCTGTTAATGTACCTGTATATCTACCTGTCGGTCTGTTTGTTTGTCTGTTTATCTTGTATTTTAACATATTCACACCAGCCATACTATAGAGATCAGGTCTTTAAGAATTCTCTCTCTTCTTCCCTTTCTCTCTCTTTCTCTCCCCTTTCTCTCTCTCTCTCTCTCTCTCTCTCTCTCTCTCTCTCTCTCTCCCTCTCTCTCTTTCTCTCTCTGTCTATGTTTATGTCTGTGTATCTATCCTGTATGCCTATTTGTTTGTCTGTTTGTCCCACCTGTATGTAAACTTGTTCAGACCTGCCATATAGTGAATAGGTCCTTTAGGACAACACATGTAAGCATTCACGTCTCTCCTCTCTCTCTCTCTCTCTCTCTCTCTCTCTCTCTCTCTCTCTCTCTCTCTC